ATGCACGGCGCGGCCCATCCAGGTATGCTCACGACGTCATCCTCCAAATGCACGGCGGCATACTGGCGAGCAAAGTCACGGGAACTGTCCCACGTCTGATCCACGAACGGGAGAGATGCTACCGCTGGCTCGCACGCAACCTCGTGATATGTTTCGATGTTGTGGAGCGGCAAGTGGCTCATCTCGTCAAAACGCCAAAAGAGCAAGGACTCGTACGCGACGCCAGAACTGAAGTGTTCGAGGACGGTCTCGGCGCCCAGCTTGAACGAGAGGAACTGGTCAGCCATGGGAGCATAGAATAAAACCTTCACCACACGCTTCTCATGCTTCCCGGAGCCGCTCTGGTGCATGTTTACAGCAGCCGTTGAGTTTCCGCAGCTCTGCGCGAGCAGCAACACTTCGACCGCGAAGCCCACCGCCTCCAGCGGCTTCAAAAGGTGCTCGACGTGGCTTCGGGACAGCGCAAGCTGAGCCTTTGCAGCGCCAGCGCTGCAAACTTTGTAGCCGACTTTTGAATTTCCGATCCTGCTTGCCCGGAAAGGAGCCTTCCAGAAAATTATTGCCACGCGCTTACTGTTGAAGCCTTTCGCGCTTCCTGACATGTTGACATGTGAGCGGGGGTCACACAACTCCTGCGTCTTTGGCGTCCACACGGCATGGCTGCGCGTCGTGGCCGGCTGACCAGGCGCCGCTCTGTCGAGGGCGGGCGCCGGGTCCTTCTTCTGCGGCGGCGCTTGCACTTCCGAGCGCAGGAAACCCCACGAGGCAGCAGAGCAGCCGCGGAACAGAAGCAGCACGGCGACCAGGGCGCGCATCCTGGCCGACGCATCGCTGCGGAGAGTATACGTGTACAAGCTGTGCGATAAAATTAGGAGTGCGGATGGTCCACGACTCTTGCCAAGTTTGCGCCACAAGGCTTGAGCCAAAATGGCTGCCTTGGGGGCCTCTCGGGCTGTCTTGGGGCGGTCTTGGGGCCTCCATGGGCCGTCTTTAACGTCGCGAAGGCAGACAAAGCCGTAGATGCTAAAAACGCATGCTTTCCTGCGGGAATAAAACAAGATTGGCGTTTCGGGGCGCTATTGGGAGTGCTCTTGGAGGCCTTTCGGTGCCTCTTGGGCAATCTCTTGGCACGTCTTGGGGCAATTTTGGGCGCCTTGGAGCGGATCTCCAACGATTCGGATCCCTCTTGGGTCATCGCGGTGGTTTTGGGGCCCCTCCTGGCACGTCTTGGAAGAGCCCACGTGCCCTGCCACTGGCATGAAGATCCAAGGTTTGCTCTCAAGGCCCATGCTCTGGATCCTAGGTATGTATGTCTACATACATGCATACAGACATGCATACATGCATGAATATATATATACAGATATATATATATATATATATATATATATATATATATATATATACGCACATACGTACGTACGTAACTACATGCGTCTCTGCACATCTACACACGAGAACCATCGCGCGCTTCGCGCGCGCTCAAGTTCTGCTAGGGTTATGATCATCGTCATGCTTGTCATCATCATCCCCGTCATCTTCATCGTTATCGTCATGGTCATGGTCACCTTCACCATCACCATCACAACAATCATCATTAGCACCATTATCATCAGCATCGTGATCACCATCGCCATCATCGTCATCGTACTTCTCAGCATCATCATCCGCATCATCAACAGCTTGCTGGTCATCGTCGGCGTCGTCGTCGGCATACTGATCGTCATCATCATCGTCATCGCCGTCATCATCCCTGGTCCACTGCAGTCCCCTTACCCTCTTCCTCTTCCCATTATTCATCTTCCCAACATCTTATACTCATCCTTTTCCTCGTCGGCGTCTCCCTGAAAGGGATCCCTGTCCCTTCTCCTCCTCCTCATCCTCTTCCTCCTCCTTCTCCTCCTCCTCCTCCTTGCTGCCTTCCCCGCTCTTCGGTGTGGCCCTCCCTGTGTTCCTTCACCTACTTCACCACCTTCCTCCTCTCGAGCACTCTTCATCCTGCGTTCCCCTTCCCTCCTCGTCATGAGCATCCCTCCCCGAGCCAGAGAATCAGAGAACAAGATGATCTTACAAGAAGAACGTCCCTCCTCCTCTTCCCCTTCCTCTCCCCCCTTCGTCCTCCTGAGATTCCTCCCCCTCTTCCTACTCCTCCTCCTCCACCTACTCCTCCTGCTCCTCCTCCTCCTCCTCTTCCTCCTCCTCTTCCTCCTGCTCCTCCTCCTCCTCATCCTCTTCCTCCTCTTCCTCCTCCTCTCCCACCTCCTCCTCCTCCTCCTCCTCCTCCTCTTCTTCTTATTCTTAGTATTATGATTAGTGCGAGTATGATAATTAAGGTTATGCGTCTTCTTATGTTTATTCAGTTTCGTATTATTAGTATTAGTATATGTATCATTCGTATCCGTAATAAGAATGGTAGTAATGTAGTTGTTTTTAATGATAACTAAAAGTAGCTGTTGTAGTCTTAATATTATTATAAGTAGTCGTATTCGTCTTCTTCGTATGATTACTAGTATTATTACTATTATGTGTCTTATAAATATGATGTATTATTCGTCTCCGTATTATCAGTATTATGCTTAGTGTTCTCATTATTATTAATAGTATTCTTCTTCGTAGTTTTATGATTAGTATTACTACTACAATTTTGAATAGTAGTCGTAGCAGTAGTAGTAGTCGTCGTCGTCGTCGTCGTCGCCGTCGTCTCCGTAGTATTCGTAATATCCGTATTACTGTTCTCATTCTTCTTCTCAATATTATCACTATAAATCTGATTCCTCTGAATATTAACATTATTCTTACTCGTATTACTCATATATTAGTTTTCCTCCTCCTCCTCCCCAAGACCGCTCCAAGAGCGCCCAAGAATGCACCAAGAGTGCCCCAAGAAGCTGAGTTTGGGACCCCCCATCCTGTAACCAATGGCCTCCAAGATGATCCTAAGAGGGTTCCAAGAGGGCCCCAAAAACTCCCAGAGAGCATCAGCAGCAACAACCGCAAGAAATCCTCGATACGGTTCCATGAGTCATCGCCCGCGTCGTCATCATCCTAGTCCTCGTCCTCCTCGTCCTCGTCCTCGTCCGCGTCCTCGTCGTCCTCGTCCTCATCGTCCTCACCCTCCTCCTCATCATCATCTTCCTCCTCCTCCTCCTCATCATCATCATCATCATCATCCCCTCGCCCCCACGAGGCCCCCAGGGATGGCCCGAGGAGGCCTTCCAAGGCCACCACCTTGCTCCCAGAGATCTCTCGGTTCACCCTGGTTGCTCGCTTCGTTTCCCTTGATGTGTCTCTTCGTCCCTTTTTGCGTCAGCTCTCATGGGCAGGGCGTCTGAATGGGCTGGCGGGGATACTTTTGAATCGCAGCCGCAAGCGAAGGCGCAGGCGGCGTCAAAGGTCGACCCGGGCTACGGGCGGAGCCTAATTACCCAGCGAGCGCACGCACGGCTGCCGAGGCTGCCGCCGAAGGAGGCTGAGTGGCGCCGGGGGCTGAGGGCTGGCTTCAGAAGCTGCCAGGAAAGCCAGGCGGCCAGCGTGCAGGCATCCCAGAGGCGAGACCACCGTGAAAACGGACGAATTGTACCTTGTCGCGCCAGGCGCCAGAGGTAGACGTGCCACCGAACGTGGCAAAGCGCGGGGCTGCCCAAGCAGTCCAGCGCACTAGGCTGCATGTCAACAAGGACAAAGTCACATGGCTGACCAAGAAGGCTGAACCACTCCTGAGCAATCCACGTAGGGGCGCGTCCCACCATGCTGGCGGCAGCTGCAGACACGGCCAGGCTGTGGCGGTGTCTGGGGACCAGAGGCCAGGGAAACGCAAGCATTCCAGCCAGAGCTGGTCAACGTGCAAGTCACCTGGACGCCAGGGTGCCTCACCAGACTCAACGGGTCCAGAACTAATACCACCCGGCGCAAGGGACAGAGGGGAGCGGCGCAGCAGGCAGCTGAAAGCTGGGAGCTGGTGGGGATACGCGAAGCGTGAATGATACAAATAATAGTTCTTGGTATCGCTGTTATTATGAATTATACTAATGGTAATAATGATACGAGTCATAATAAGGATAAGAAGAAGAAGAAGAAAAAGAAGAAGAAGAAGAAGAATCACCACACTACTAAAAAATATCATAATAACACTAAGAATAGTGAGTTTGATAATGATGGTATTACCAACGGAAAAGATATTCGTACTAGATAATGATACGAATAACCAGCAATAATAATAAAAAAATTGGTAGTAATGCTCATATAATGAACATCG